TTCTTGTTGCGTCATAGACAACGGGTCAAGGTTTTTACCTTTGGTTCTTGTTGCGACATAAACAACGGGTCAAGGTCTTATTATAAACCTGATTTAGCTTTCCTGAGTTTAAAAATCCCTTGTCGTGCTGTGGGTCTCATTGTTCTCTTAGGGGTTCTCATCACTGGGCGTCATTGTTGAATGCATCTTCATAATCGTCATTGAAATCGTCATTAGCATCATTCCTACACAAATTTGGACTTCCATTCTGTGTTTGGTATAACTTGAATTGAATCCTTTAAAGTCAAACCTGGATTTACATCATTCCCCTCCTCTTGAAAAGGATTTGTCCTCAAATCGTTTATTGCATCAAAACGACTCAAATCAGTAACATTGAAAGTGGCACTAACATTGTACTCACTTGGTAAATCTAAGTTTGTAAGCATTAGCGTTAATGCGCTCTAAGACTTGGAAAGGACCATCTCCTCTTGGAAGCAATTTGGAACACCTTTGTGCTGGGAATCTTTATTTCCTCATGTGCAACCAAACCCAATCTCCAGGTTTGAAGACCAGCTTAGAACGTCTCTTGTTGGCTTGCTTTGCATATTGCTCTGCTCTTCACTCAATGTTGAGTCTTGCCTTCTCGTGAATCTGCCTCACAAAATCAGCTTTCTTTTTGCCATTTAAATTAACATGCTCAAACATCGATAAAGGAGATAAATCCAATGGAGTTAACGGATCAAACCCATACACAATTTCAAAGGGTGAAAATTTAGTAGCAGAGTGAACAGTACAATTATAAACAAATTCAACATGTGACAAACAATCTTCCCAAGTTTTAATGTTCTTACTAATGATAGCCCTCAACATAGTTGACAAAGTCCTATTTACTACTTCGGTTTGACCATCAATTTGTGGGTGACAGGTGGTAGAAAACAATAGTTTAGTACTTAGCTTACTCCACAAAGTCTTCCAAAAGTAGCTTAAAAACTTAGCATCTCTATCTAAAACAATTGTTCTAGGCATACCATGTAATCTCAAAATCTCCCTAAAGAACAAATCAGCAATATGTGAAGCATCATCCGTTTTATGACATGGGATAAAATGTGCCATCTTAGAGAACCTATCCACAACCACAAAAATTGAATCTTTTCCATGGCTAGTCCTAGGCAAGCCTAACACAAAGTCCATGGAAATATCAATCCAAGGTTCACTGGGAATAGGCAGTGGCATATATAAACTATGAGGTTGCACTCGGGATTTTGTTTGCTTGCACGTGACACATCTACCACAAATCCTCTCAACATCTCTTCTCATGTGTGGCCAAAAGAAGTCTTCCTGCAAAATAGCTAAGGTCTTAGCAACCCCAAAATGTCCCATTAACCCTCCGTTGTGGGATTCCCTAACTAGCAAATCATGCAAAGAACAATTCGGCACACATAACTTATTTTCCCGAAACAAGAAACCATCATGCCTATAAAACTTACCAGCTGCATTTTTCTCACAAGCTCGAAACTCCTCACAAAAATCTTGGTCTAAAGGATATAGTTCTTTAATGTGCTCAAAACCAAGTAATTTTGCAGCAAGGATAGAGATTAATGCATACCTGTGAGAAAGTGCATCAGAACCACATTCTCCTTACCTTGCTTATACTGAATGACATATGGAAACGTCACGATGAACTCCATCCATCGCACATGCCTCTTGTTCAATTTGTGTTGACCTTTCAAGTGCTTCAATGATTCGTGATCAGTGTGTATCACAAACTCCTTGGGCCAAAGATAATGCTGTCATGTTTTTAATGCCCGAACCAATGCGTATAACTCCTTGTCATAAGGTGGGTAGTTTAGAGCTGCCCTACTTAGCTTTTCACTAAAGTACGCAATTGGTCGACCCTCTTGCATGAGTACTGCACCAATACCTACACCTGAAGCATCATATTCAATCTCAAACGTTTTATCAAAATTAGGTAAAGACAATAAGAAACGTTAGTCAATTTTTGCTTAATTAGTTGAAACGCCTTTTCTTGCTCTTTGCCCTACTTGAATCCAATGTTCTTCTTGATTACTTCGGTGAGTGGTGCTGCCAAAGTGCTAAAGTCCTTCACAAACCATTAGTAGAAACTGGCAAGTCTATGAAAGTTCCGTACTTCACCTATACTTGTAGGTCTCGGCCATTCTTGAATTGCTTAGACTTTTTCTCCATCAACCTGTATTCCTTGTGCACTAACAACAAAAACAAGAAACACAAGCCTATCGGTGCAAAAAGTGCATTTCTTCAAGTTAGCAAATAACTTTTCCTTTCTAAGCACATCCAAAACTGATTTTAAATGCACAACATGTTCTTCCAAGTTTTTGCTATAACTGAAAATATCATCAAAATAAACAACAACAAACTTGGCTATGAATGCACACAAAATATGATTCATCAATCTCATAAATGTGCTTGGTGCATTAGTTAAACCAAAAGGCATGAGGTTACTCATACAATCCATGTTTTGTCTTAAAGGCTGTTTTCCATTCATCTCCCTCTTTCATGCGAATTTGATGATACCCACTTTTCAAATCAATTTTCGAAATACACAAGCACCATGCAACTCATCTAACATGTCATCTAAGCAAGGAATAGGATGTTGATACTTTATCGTAATGCCATTGATGGCTTGACAATCAACGCACATCCTCCAAGTCCCATCGTTCTTAGGCACAAGTAGAACAGGAACAGCACATGGACTCATGCTTTCCCTCACGTACCCCTTCTCCATTAATTCACTTACCTGCCTCTGAAGCTCCTTTGTCTCCTCGGGGTTTGCTCTTATAGGCTGGTCCGTTTGGAATTGTCGCACCAGGTACAAAATCAATTTGACGTTCAATCCCTCATATTGGAGGTAATCTAGGTGGTGTTTCTTTGGGAAATACATCCTCGTAATCCTGCAACAGAGAAATAACACCACTTGGCAAATTTCTGGTAAGATCATCACTGCACAAAAATGCCTCTTTGTACAGAAGTACTATAAAGGGCTGTTGTAAATGTAAAGCTCTCTTGATCTCACTTTTTTTTGCAATGAAACAATGTTGTTCCTCTCTTAAACTCACTAAAGCTGAATCTGCTTTCTTTTTTTCTCTCTCAATTTTTTTGGCCTCTCTCTCTTTTTCTCTTGAATTTCCACTTCTATCTTTTCTCTCACTCTCTCTTTTTTGCTCATTCTCTTCTTTTTGATGTCTCTCTTTTTTAAGCCTCACTTGATTCTCATACACCTGTTGGGGTGTCAAAGGAACAAGAGTGATTCGACGCTGATTGAGTACAAAAGAGTATTTGTTGGTAAACCCATCATGCTTGACTTGTCGATCAAACTGCCATGGTCGTCCTAACAACAAGTGCCCAGTATGCATTGGAATGACATCGCAAAGTACCTCATCTTCGTATTTTCTGATTCGAAATGCAACTAACACCTGTTTGTTTACCTTTACCTCGCCACTATCATTCAACCATTGCAACTTGTACGGACTAAGGTGTCTTAGTGTAGGCAATCCTAATTTTTCTACCATGGTTGTGCTAGCAACGTTAGTACAATTACCACCATCAATAACCACACTGCATACGTGATGCGAAATATGCCAACTTGTGACGAAACCCGTAAACAAGACAAGGCACCAAGACCATTTCTAAGACAAGTTTGAGAGGATGGAACCGCGACCCGTTACCTAGGACGAGGTAAGAACCTTGGTATGGAGAAGACGCCACAATCAACTATGGAAGGGTTGATTGATAAGTCGAGGATGAACACCACGGATAATTCTGATAAGTTCAAAAAGTTGTTCAAAGAACCAGAGAGAATTCGTTCTCACAATGTTGATGAATAATGATCTGTTTTACAGTTAGGGTTGCAGCCCTATAAATAGCTAAAATTAATCTTAACCAGAATAGGAAACTAACAAACCAAGTCCTAACCCTAACAACCACGAATTTGGGCTTCAACTAAATGAATGTTTAGCCCAAATAACACAACAAACATAAAAATAAGCTAAAATAACCTAAGAACATTATGAAATATTAGTTTGCGGCCAACTGCGGCAGATTTGACGCAAACTGTGTAATTCAACCCAAAAAAGAGAAACTTGGCATGCAAGCCAAAACCCAAAAAGGAAAGTAATAAATTTGAGCCAGAATGATTGCTGAGTTCATGCCCAAAGTTCATGACCATTACTTGCAAAGATTAGGCTTGGCTTTGACAGAGTCTTTGATGGGAATCAAGATGACCCCAATGATGGGAATCAAGATGACCCCACAGGTACCACATCAAGAGATCCATTACATATTTCAGGAGGTCCAGTCACAAGAGCTAGAGCTAAGAAGATGCGAGAAGCTGTAAATGGCCTTATTGAGCAGATCTGGGTTGATAACAACATACAACAAGCAAATCGAAGCTTGGATGATTATCAAGGCATGGTAAACATCATTCAGGTTCAAGAGAAGTTTAGTTGTGGTCATTTGCACAAAATTACACAGTTTGCGTCAAAATCGCACAATTCTGCCGCAATTTGTAACAAACTGATATTTTGTGTTATTTTAGGTTATTTTAGTGATTTCACGTTTTTTATACTATTTTTGGGCTGAACATTCACTTATTTGAAGCCCAATTCGTGGTTATTAGGTTTAGGA